GCAGCCCCCGGGGTCGGGCCGAGGGCCCCGGGCGGAGCTGCCGGCGGTGCCGCATTCCGGAGAAGCCGCCTCCGCCGGCGGCCGGTGCCAGCAGGCGCTGGCAGGTTCGGAGCTTCGCAGCGATTCCAGGCACAGATGTCCTTGTTTTAACTCCTCTGCGATGGAGCCTGGCAGACCGGGCGGGGGAGGGGGCGGCTCGGCAGCCCCCGGGGCGGCGGGGACAGCTGCCAACCCGGCCCGCCCCGGCCGCGGCTCAGGGGACCGCAGGGACCCCCCGTTCCTCCACGAGGGGAGGCGTCCCGGGCTCCCCATCGCACAAAACCGGGGGCAACCCCGCCACTCCCGGGGCCCCCCCACATTCCTCCCGACCCCCCACATCCTCCCCGACCCCCGGGCAGCCCCCGGCCCCCGGAGCGGGGCCGCCTCCGCAGCGCGGCGAGCGCCGGGCGCCGGGAGCCTCCGGTTTTTTATGGTATCTGCAATTTTGGCAGAAATCTGTCTTTAATTTAGCTGTCCATATAAAAATCCGCACTGTATAATAATGAACAGATGCCATGAAATTTAAACTGAAGCAATGACTCCTCCTCCCCCCCCCCGGCTGGCACTCGCCGGTGGCAGCGGCGACCCAGAGCTGGCGCTCGCCCCGCGCCCCCGCTGCGCTCCGCCAGGCCGGGAGAGGGGCCGGGCAGGGGGCACCGGGGGCACCGCGGGCACCGGGGGCACGGAATGGGGGGCACACCTCCACTCCCACCTCATCCTGCCCTGAAATAGGGAGATTGAGCCCACCAGAGCCACCACCGCGGGGTCCCCTCGGTGCTGGCCCCGCTCCGTCCCCCCGGCCGAGCTGTGCGTGGTCTTGGCAGCCCCCAAAATAGTCCCAACCTACAAAAATCACTCTCGGAGCTCGGCGGGGAGGCGGTTCCCGACCTCCCGCGTCCCTCTCTGGGAGCCGCGGGGCGGAACGGCTGGGCACCGGGCTGGGCACCGGGGCTGGGCACCGGAGCCGGGCACCGGAGCCTTGTAGCGGGGCTGGATACCAGAGCCGGGCACCGGGACCGGGCACCGGAATCTTGTACCGAGGCCGGGCACCGGAGCTTTACAACGAAACCGTTCACGGGGACCGTGCACCAAAATCTTTCCCCGGAGCTTTGCAGTGGAGCCGTTCTCCGGAGCTCTGCCCCGGGCCGTGCACCGAGCGCTGGGCCGCATTGCGGGGCCGGGCCGTGCCGGAGCAGCCGAGCGGATTCCCGCACCTTCGGCGGGGCCGGGCGGGCACCGGGAAAACAAAAATCCCGGGAAATGAACGCAGCCCGCAGCCCCCCCAGCGGGGCCGGCACCCCCTGGCACAGCCGGCCCCGGGAGCAGATGTCGGCGGCCCCCCCGCAGCCCCCGGCCCCCCGCGACCCCCTCCTTCGCTCCACCGGGGCATCCGCCCTTCACCACCGCCACCCCGGTGCCGCCGGTTGTGGGTGACGGCAGAAGGGCCGCACATCGACACCCCACGACCCCACCGAGCCCCCGCCAGGGCCCCCCGAGGCTTTTTCCCCAGAGAAACGAGTCCCGGGAGGATGACCGGGCTGGAGCCGTCGGAAGAGGCTCTGCTGCTCTGCAGAGAACTGAGAGCGCCAGGGCCCGACCGGGGGTCGGGGGGTTCGAGGGGCTCGGGGGCCGCTGCAGCGGCTCGTGGGACCTCGGTGGATCCTCTCCCCGACCCGGTCCCCGCTCCCTGCCACCGGTGTCTCCGGGGCCGGACCCGGCACGTCGGGGCCGCATTGGAACCGTTCTCCGTTTGCAGCCTCGGCGCATCCCGGCCCGACCCCAAACCAGCCCGGTTTGTCCCCAGAAGCCGCGGGGCTGAGGGGCACGGGCATCGCCACCTCTCCCGGGAGGACACCGGCGGCTCCGTTTCCGCAGCCCCGACGCCTCCCGCGGGGGAACCGGCTCCCACGACCCCCGCGGCCGTGGGGAGAGGGATCGGTCGGAGCCCGGTGCCCGACCCTGCCAGGGGCCCGCGGTTGTCGGGTGGCGACGAGCCCCGGTGGCGCAGACGGTAAACAGACCGGTGCCCGTTAAGCGGCCCCGGCACCCGTTCAGCACCGCCGAGGCGGACAGCTCCGCACCGGGCACCGCACTCCCGGGGCTGCAGCGGGCACCGGCAGCGGGCACCGGGAACGGCACCGGGCACCTGGCACCGGCATCGAGCCAGAGCTTCCAGTGCTCCAACGGGCACCGGCACTGGCACCGGCACCTGGCCGGAGCTCCCGGGGTTCCAACAGGCACCAGCATCGGCACTGGCACCGGCACCGGGCACCGCGCCGAGGCTCCATCGGGAACCGGCACCGGGAACCGGTACAAGCAGCGGGCACCGCGCCTGCAGCCGACCGAGGAGCCCGGCCTTGGCCACCGCCACGGTGCCCTCTCCGCGGCCACCGGCCCCGCGGCCCGGTGCCAGCCCCGGGCACGGCGCTCCGAGCTCCCGCTCCCGGGGGACCGGAGCGGTGTCACGGCCGGTGGACCGAGCCGGGCGGCCGCTCCGCATCCCGGTGCCCCTATTGGTGAGGGGGGGGACACCGCCTCCACGGTCCCGGGGGGGACACCCTTGGGGCAGAGCCGCTTTATATCAGCGCCACCGCCCGCGGGCCGCGCACTCGGGCGGCGGGAGCGGCGGCGGCACCGCCGGGGGGTGGGCTCGACCCGGTGCCCCCAATGCCCCCGGTGCCCCCGGTGCCCCCGGTGCCTCGGGGGCGGAAGGAAAGCGGCGAAGGCGGCGGAGTCAACATTGAATATTTATTAATCGCCGTCGAAGGACGCTCGGTAATTACAACCTCGCCGCGATCGCACCGGCGGCGGCTCGTCACGGCCGACGAGTTCTGGCGGGGCCGGGACCGAGCGACGAACGTCCAGCGGGGCCGGGGGGGGGTCGGCCCCGGCAGGGAGGGGAGGGCCGGTGCATGCAGAACGGCCGGGCCCCCCGGCCCCGCGCCCCCGCGCTCCGCCGCCGCCGAGCAGTGTCCGGGCGGCGGGGACGGGGACCGGGAACCGGGACCGGGGAGCGGGAGTGGCGCCCGGCGCGGGGGGGTCTTGCATATCGTTGGCCATAAATATTTATTAATCGAAATGAAACGGAACGGAAACACGAAAGCACTTCTGGTGTCGGGCAGCGGGTCCCCTTTGCTACAACGGTTTGTGGGTTTTTGTTTCTTTTTCCC